CAAGTATCAGCCCTCAGAGGGCCTAAAAATCACACAGATTCCCTGGTAGGCAAGCAGATAGGGAAAGAAGCCTTGACTGGGTGATAAAGATGGCCAACTTCTAAGAGAACTACTTCCTCCTCACTCTCCTGACCTGAGACAAAAGTCTAGCAGCTTAAAACAAAGGCTTTCCAGACATTTTCTCCAGCTAGTTGGGCTCCCTGCTGATGGCTCATCAAATTCAAGGCCAGATCAGAACATGCTTATACAACACCAACCAGCCATCCTGTCTGTTTTCAAACTGACCACCCATAAATTAGGGGAGGAAGACCCTCCAAAGACTTAAAAATCCCCCAGGCTTCAAGGACAGAACAGGCTTCAGCTTCCCAAGTACCTGCTCTGTGAAGGATCTTTCTCTATGTACCTGTTGTACGTGTGTTTCCTTGACCTGATCAAAGCCTTTCTTTACCAACTGGTTCTGTCTGCTGTGTCTGAGATTTTCCTTGCTGCTACCTGTCACACAGGAGATTTTTTTCTGCCTTTTAATTCTTTAACTGGCAGAGTAAATGCCTGATTAAGACTCCTAGACAGTAACAGTTGCAGTAGTATAAACTTCCACCAAATGGTCCATCAAGCTCTACTTACAGCATTCTTGCTCTTCTCTAGTTCACATTCCTTCTAAAATGGTTTCCTAACCACAGTGACCAACCCTTGGTACCAATTTTCTGTATTAGTTACTTTCCTCATTACTGTACCTGACCAAATGCAAATTCCTTTGACTTAGAAGATACAGTTCATGATGGCAGATGGTTCAGTTGCAATGAAACAGGAAATAAAGAGATGAATCAGAAGTGAGAATGCAGTATAGTCTTCAATATCTGCTCCTCAGAGCCTTCAGTTAACTTCCTTCAGTTAGTCCCTACCCCCCCCAAAAGAGTTCACAACTTCTCAAAACAGTGCCACTAGCTACAGACCAAATGTTCAAATACAAGAGCACATGAAGACATTTTATATCCAACCTGAAGCTGCTAGAATGCAAAGATGATTCAGTAAGTACAATTTATAATACACTAATGAGAAATAGTTTAAATTATATGACCGTCCTGGTAGGTATAAGGAAAAGCATTTAATAAAATCAACCATCTTCATGATGAAAGCCCTCAACAAAGTAGTTGACAAGTAATGTAATTTACTATAGTAAAGATCCCACTTGAAAAGCTTACAGTTAATATTTTACTCAACAGAGAAAAGTTGAGACAATTTCCATAAGATTAGGAATAATACAGGGTTGCCTACTCTCAATGTTAGACCCCCGAAAACTCAAGTTTCCGGGGTCCCAGGCCACGTTCGCGGTCACCCCAATCACCAGGCGGATTCAAGAGCTTGCTGCAAACTGCACGAGGCTTTATTGTAATTTAACGAGCAAACCCCATGTTAGCTCGGGTCTTTTACCCACCTGCCATGGCACAGATCTTTATAGGGCAGCGTAAGGGGAGTGTCTAGGGGTACGCACAGGCTCACGATTGGTGTGCCTCCAGGCTTGGAGGGCTTGCCCTGTGTTGATTGGTCAACTGGTTGTTATGGCCCATAGGCCCTCCCAGGGTGGTTGCTATGCTCTCTACGTCATTG